CCAGACCCCCAAAGCCCCCCCAGCCCCACCTCGGCCATGGCCTGATCCGCCGATTCCATTTTCTCGAAGGTGACGAAGGCGCAGCTGAGGGGACAGCGGGGGAGGGGTGGGGGCGGGGCGCGCTGCTGGCCACGCCCACAGCGGCCACGCCCACAGCGGCCACGCCCACACCGACCCCCACCCCGTTTGGCTCCTCCCACCCAGCATTGGCCCCTCCCATCAGTGACCACGCCCCAATTTAACCCAGCCCAGCCACACCCAGCCAAGCTCCGCCCCAAAGCCCCACCCACTTCCGGGGCGTGTCCAGGGAGAGGTCGATGATGTCACACAAGCCCCGCCCACTCCCCAAGCCCCACCCACTTCTGGGGCGTGTCCAGGGAGAGGTTGATGATGTCACACAAGCCCCACCCCCAGGCCCCACCCACTTTTGGGGCGTGTCCAGGGAGAGGTCGATGATGTCACACAAGCCCCACCCACCCCTCCAAAGCCCCACCCACTTTCAGGGCGTGTCCAGGGAGAGGTCGATGATGTCACACAAGCCCCGCCCCCAATGCAAGCCCCACCCACTTTCGGGGCGTGTCCAGGGAGAGGTCGATGATGTCACACAAGCCCCGCCCCCAGGCCCCACCCACTTCCGGGGCGTGTCCAGGGAGAGGTCGATGATGGCTCCGAAGGGGCCGAAGGCTCCGCGCAGCAGCTCCGGGCTCAGCTCGGCCCCGTGCACGTACAGCGTGTTCCCCTTGCGCGGGGGGCGGCGCTCCGGGAACGAGTCCGACCCTGCGGGGACCCCAGAGAGCCCCGGAACGTTCCGGAACCGCCCCCGGAACCTCCCCAGAACGTTCCGGAACCTCCCCGGAACCCCCCCCGGAACGTTCCGGAACCCCCCCCGGAACCTCCCCCGGAACCTCCCTGGAACCTCCCTGGAACGTTCCAGAACCCCCCCCGGAACCTCCCCAGAACCCCCCCGGAACGTTCCGGAACCCCCCCGGAACCTCCCCGGAACCTCCCCGGAACCTCCCCGGAACGTTCCGGAACCTCCCCAGAACATTCCGGAACCCCCCCGGAACCTCCCTGGAACCTCCCCGGAACATTCCAGAACCTCCCCGGAACCTCCCCAGAATGCTCCAGAACCTCCCTCAGAATATTCTGGAACCCCCTGGAACGCTCCAGAACCCCCCCGGAACATTCCAGAATCTCCTTGGAACGTTCCAGAACCCCCTGGAACACTCCAGAACCCCCCCTGGAACATCCCAGAACCCCCGGAAGGTTCCAGAAGGTTCCGGAAGCCCCCCAGAACACCCTGGAACCCCCCGGAAGGTTCCGGAAGCCCCCGGAAGGTTCCAGACCCCCCGGAAGGTTCCGGAAGGCGCCGTACTGCGGAAGGCGCCGTCGCGCTCGCGCCGCTCCTCGGCGTCGCTCTCGGGGTCCCAGTCCAGGCGTCGCTCCCGCGGCTCCGGG